TTGACCACATGCTTGCTTTGTAACTTTTTTAACATCTGAAGTCCATGAATAAAGTCTTCTTCTAGCTCTGGCACAGTTAGCTGGGAAAGTGCCACTTTGTTTTCTTTCCATTCAGAAAGATAGATCTAAAAAGAAAGGGGAGGTGGGGAGAAAAATGCATATGTATCTCACGCATACAGCCACTAATATTCACTATTATTTAAACATGCTATTCATTTTATGAGTTAACGAGATCCACACCCTTACTTAAGCATCCAGTTATAACAAAGGCTACTATATTTCAGTATTTCAAAACAGATCATGCATAATAGAAAACTAGTCAGCGGCACTTAAGTAATCCTTGTGTCCTACAAAGGTAGGTCAAATCCATCTATAATCACATCTATAAACTAATATGGAATATTTTCTATAAATGAACCAGAAATATTTTTATTATGGTACATATACCTACATCTCTTCCTAGCTTCTATTTTATAGAGATTGGTATATATTATAGTATATAAATATATACTTCAAAGTATTAAAATATATGCCCTTCTAAATATCTAATGGGGGGGGGTGTTGCTTAAAGCTCAGCTCAGTCATATTCGGTGTACTGTATATAAAGCTAAGAAACCTTTTTCAAAATTCCATTGAGCTCTTCTTTTCCCAAGTAAGTGGAAAGAGAAGATGGGGAAAGCAGCTGGGAATTAAAATTCAATTCTTTTCCAATTCAGGTGGTAACAGCACCATTTGGCGATGCCCAACTTTGACCTTAAAAGAGAGTTCATTTATCAATGTAGTAATCAGTGCCAATTAGATGTAAATAACACAAGAAAATTTAGTAAATATGTCTATTCCATATCTCAACAAAAAGTTTTATTTAGAAATACTTCAGTAAATGTAAATAAGTTACTGTATTATAAGCGCTTGTAAAACTTTTATAAATGAGTATTTTTAGACATAATCCACATTCATCTGGAATCATCAGCATTTACTTACAAAATGATTTCAGATATATTAAGAACATCCATTTCTTCATGAGGGAAAGGGGAAGTGACAAAAGTAATGTGCTGATATGACAGAAACTATCCTTTTGTAAATGTGTTGCAACTGCTTCTTTATACAAAACAATGTAATATTGCTTTCATCATTTTGACAACAGTAGTGGATTCTAATAATGTCTATGTATCTCTCTGTAAATTGAGGTTATCATTGGCTATAATTAGTAACCTGGGAATATATAGAATAATATTTTATTATGTTTGAGATCCATGAAGTTAAACAAACCCTTTTTACAGCTCCTCCACCAACATGTTTCAGTTTACGGACTTCTCTTTTTATAACCTGGCAAGACAACCATGGTGAGCAGTTCTTCATAGTTCCTAATTTGAAGTAGCCATGTGGACAGAAATTTTGCTCAATGTTGGATTCTCCATAGGAAAAATATACATTGCCGAGGTATTGGTAGAGAAACAAGATCACAAGCAGCACAGTTAAAAACAAAAGCAAGGCTAAAAGGATTAGCTTTTGCTTAATATCACTTTTTAAATCACAAGCCTTTTTTGTCCATGTTGTAACTATCATCTTTCATAATTTCTGAAAAATAAACAGTAACAAATTATTAATTGAACATAACAAAGCAGCAAAAGGAATGATAGCCAAACTTAATATTTCAGAATAATTTTATTTTATTTTTGTGCATAGCAATTCTATTGTCTCAAAAAAACATGGAATATACATATAAAATGAGAATGTTAAGGTGATATGTTTACTTTCATAAATCATGATATACTGAAACAATTCTGCACACAGGAAAAATATGCATTGATCCAATTTACTCAAATACTAGATACACATATCTATTTGCATCTGTCTACTGACTAGTATGAGATTCAATCAATACTTTAATTTGAAAAACCCATAATTTGAAATTATATTTGCTGAAGCAAAATATCCCTTCTGGAGAACATGACGACATGTATAAGGGAATAAATATACACACCACTTAGGGATCTAGGAAAGGAAAGCAGATTGTTCATAACTTGGTTCTGCTCTTCAATTACATAAGGACTTTACCGTACTTCTTTGTGAATATCTTATAGGTATCCTGATAAACAATAAAGATTGTTTGACTATCAAATTCTATGCATCTCTGATAGAAATCATTAATGAATGTTTTCATCATAGGTATTACCCAAATTCCAATATTTTAAGTGCTGCTGGTTTTAATGATTTCAATAGGAAATATTTACTGTCAATAGCACTGTATTATTTACACAGTGTGCTTTGTACAATAGCACACTATTGAAAAATAAGTCCAGCTGAGGCTTTCAAATAAATTTTAAAATATTATAAACTTAAGTGTGTAATGAAAACAAAAGAAACATAAATTCATGGAAGCCACATTCTTTTCTGTTTTTTTTTTAATCTGACCATTTCTCAGGGAGTATTATCACAACTTCTGTTTAGGGGAAATCCACCTTCTTATAGATAGTTTAATATAGAGAATGTAATGGAATATATTTCTACCGATATGCCTAAATTAATGTATATTCTTTATTTCTTAAAGAAACAGATAGGATTTGGTAAAAAACAAACGAGTAAAAAAGATTTAAAATCTTTCTGGTTTGCATCATCTCAGAAATTCTAGGCCGAATGAAATAAATATTATTCATTAGATTTATCCTACTGTACTATGCTTACCTGTTTCCTATCTTTACAGTTTATATACCATTATCACTATCGGCATAATACAATCCCAGGGTTCCCTGCTTTGAGCCACACGAGTTGTCCGTCGCTTGCACATAGAGATAAAACAGGGTAGAGTGACATATTCCCTTGCTTTAGTCCCTCAGATTCTGATTGAAATATAAAGCCTTTCTGTGCTGAAGCTGACAGGGGGAAAATATCTATTTACTTCTTAACAAGAACATTTGGAAAACTAAAAATATAGTTGGTTGACTTTTACTATAAACTTGTTTATGAATATAACTTTAATAATTTTGGGACATTTAAGTGTTTCTAGAAAGATTTTTTTTTTAATTTGATTTATATGCCGCCCTTCTCCGGAGACTCAGGGCAGCTTACAACGCCTTAAATTTGAATGGATATATATACATTGTATTTACCAGAGCTTCTCAGAGCATCGAAATAACAGTCCTTTATCATGTTTTGTCTCCTTCCATGCATGTTTAAAATCTTAATATTATTTTTTTAAAATATAAAAATGTAAAATAGAAATGCTTAACTAAAAAGTGTACAATAAAATGCATTCATAAAGTATTCAGACCCCCTTCACTTTTGTCAATTTTGTTATGCTGGAGCTTGATTCCACAGTTGTTGAATTTTTTTTTCCTCATTAATCTACACTCAGTACCCCATAATGACAAAGTGAAAACTATCTGAAAATCTATTAAAAAAGAAAAAACTGAAATATACATTGGGACCTTTCACTCAGTACTTTGTTGAAACACCTTTGGCAGCAATTACACCTAATATGTTGTGAAGTTTTATTTTCATTTCATATTTATACTAAGACATGCCTCTGTCTATATTTTCCTGGGTATGTACAAAAGGAAGCAAAAATAGTCATGAAAAAAAATTATTCCCGAATGCTTGTATGACACTGCTACATGAAGCAATTCATAACTTCTCCCAAATGTTTGCTTTTTAGAGAGATTTCTTTAGAGAGATTTCTTTTAGAAATTAACTCCCTTAGGTCATTTCATTATTAAAGTTTTATTGCTGCTACCAGCTTCACTATTATTACAAAGAAACCAAAATATCTATATTGTGATAGGTTCTTCAAAAGAATGCCAACCTTATGTCTTTTAAGTCATGCCAGAATTCCAACATTTGTGTGTGTGTGTGTGTGTGTGCAGGCGCATATTGACATACCTGTTGCACATGCTTGCTAATAAAATGAGTTGAAATAATTATATTATGCTTTTGTTTTCCTATTTGCCAAAACAGTATATATGTACTGTGCACATTTTGCCTATCAAGACGTTTAATAATTTTGTCATAATTTCATGTATATGAGGTTCTTATCTCAATCTAAAATATGGGAATATGGAAATATGGAAAGCACTGATTCAAACTGAATTAGGAGCAAAAACCATGCTGTAATTATAGGAACTCTAAATTTAAGCATTATTACTTATATCATTCCAATGAAAGTAATCAATTGCTATATCAGTATAGCAAAAGACATACTTGGTTCACCTACATGTGGGATATCACCACAGCAAAAGTGTAATATACTAAATAAAATTGTTAAATCGTTAACAATACTATAGATTGTGAGTTTATTTTGTAAGCATCAAATTGAAATATATAATTAAAATTGTACTGCAAATGTACAGGTAGTCCTCAACTTATAACAGTTCATTTAGTGACCATTCAAAGTTATAACAGCACTGAAAATTGTGACGTATGACTGAGTTTTCAGAATTACCACCTTTGCAGCATCCCCACGATCATGTGATCAAAATTCAGCTGCTTGGCAATTGGTTCATATTTATGACCATGGCTGTGCCCCATGGTCAGGTGATCCCCTTTTGAGCCCTTCTAACAAGCAAAGTCAATGGGGAAACCAGATTCAATTCACAACCATGTTATTAACTTAATAACTACAGTGATTTACTTAACAACGGTGGCAAAAGTCGTAAAGTGGGGCAAAACACACTTAACAACAGAAATTTTGGGCTCAATTGGGTGATGGTAAGTCGAGGCCTACCTGTATTCTCTCTAGAGCAGTGTTTCTTAACCTTAACAACTTCGATATGCGAAGACTTCAACTCCCAGAATTCCTCACCCAGCATGAAATTGGTCCTCGCAATTTAGCTAAGGTTGAGAAAAACTGCTCAGAAAACAGAAATGACAGCGGTAATTTAAAACAGACATCAGAGGGAGCAGAAGTATTTAAAATTGGCTCAGAAACGACGAAATAAATCCAAAACCACGTGAATGGGGGGGGGGGAATGATTAAATTAAGCCTGCTCAATCGAGCCCCGTTTTCGCGGCCGTTGCGCTCTCTTCAGCGCTCAAGACCACCTAACTCTGACAACTGCAGCGACTACCCAACGGCAGCACCAGTCGCTGCTTTATTCCCAAATATCGCGGAGCACGCGAGAAAGAGAGGGCAGGAAGCTGCCTCCTCCTCCTCCTCCTCCTCCGCCAGGCAGGGCGCTGCACTCGTCCGCTTTCGAGCAAAGCAGCAAGTATGGTGGCGTCGGACTGTCGGGGTCGCTCGGCCACCTATCTCGGAGGGGCGCTTATCGCACTCCTTGTGTCGGGTTTAGCTCAGCCCCACGGTAAGCCTTTCCTTCCCCGCCACAGTATCCCCTCTTGTACCTCGTAAGCGCTGCCTCCTTCGCACTTCTAGCAGGAGCTTTTAAAGGCGCAGAATTCCTTTGCTTTTGTTTTTGCCCGGTGAAAAGATGCTCGACTCCAGATCCCTTCGAGAAGAGATTCTCAGCAGTGGGAATCAACCGACGGTTGGGAAGGAGGGAGAGAAAGGAAGGAGGGAGGGAGGGAAGGCCCCGCTTTTAACGAACTGGATTCATCATGCTTTGCTTCTAGGGCGCCATGGCTTGCAGTTTATTATTTTCTCTTTCTGAAGACATTAGGAGATGCTTAAAAACAACAATAAAAAGCTAAACATGCACTTAAATCCAGTGCATAAGATTTTAAAAAAAGCTGTGGACCAGTTCTTCACCTGGTCAGGAGGGATCTTGTTGGCTTGTCTATTCATTTTAGTCTCCAGGTTTTGGCTAGTGATCATATTTGATGCCCTACCTGCCCCTAAATCACAGCTTTCTTCTCTGCCCAAATTAAGTTATCAATTTTGCAAAAAAAATAGGAATATTATAACAGAAGTAAAAGATAGAAAAATGTGGATTAGACCGCATCATCACCAGTTGAATTTGTAACTGACTGACCAACCACACTCAATGTGTAGCCCTCAATGGAACTGCATCTGCATGGAATGAAGTAAGCAGTAGGATACCCCAAGGCTCTGTTTTAGCCCAATACTCTTCAACATCTTCATCAGTGATTTGGACAAGGGGATACATCAAATTTGCAGACAACACCAAGCTGGCAGGAGTAGCCAACACTCCAGAAGATAGGCCTAAGAAACAGCAGGATCTTGATAGACTTGAACATTGGGCGCTATCTAACAAAATGAAATTCAATCGTGAAAAAGTAACGTTATACATTTAAGGAAGAAAAACCAAATGCACAGGTAGTGTATAGGTGGTACCTCACTCAATAGTAGTAACAGGGTTCTTGGTGTCCTAGTAGACAATCATTTAAATATGAACCAGCAGTGTGCTGCAGCTGCCCAAAAACCAACACAGGTGCATTAACAGGGATAGAATTAAGATCACATGAAATGTTAATACCACTTTATAATACCTTGGTAAAGCTACACTTGGAATACTGCATCCACAATGTAAAAAAGATATTGAGACTCTAGAAAGAGTGCAGAGAAGAGCAACAAAGATGATTAGGGGACTAGAGGCTAAAACATATAAAGTAGGGTTGCTGGAATTGGATATGTCTAGTTTAATGAAAAGAAGGACTAGGGGTGATATGATAGTGTTCCGATATCTCAGGGGTTTCCACAAAGAACCGAGACTCAACATATTCTCCAAAGCATCTGAGAGCAGGACAAGAAGCAATGGATGGAAACTAATCAAGTAGAAAAGCAACCTAGAATGAAGAACAATTTTTTTGACAGAACAATTAATCAGTGGAACAACTTGCCTCCAGAAGCTATGAATGCTCCAATACTGGAAGTTTTTAAAAAAAGATTGGACAACCATTCGTCTGAAACTGTATAGGGTTTCCTACCTAAGCCGAGGTTGAACTAGAGGACCTCCAAGATCCCTTCCAACTCTGTTATTCTATTCTAAAATAAAAAAAATCCTGACATCCATTAGCACTTTGACTCCACCCTCTTGTTGTGTATATTATCTAATGAAGATCAGATGGGTTGTTCCTATTAACTATTTGCTTACTTATTTCATTTTCTACTTCTGCTTTCACTCAGCTACCATCTTCCTGATACATACATCTAAATTTCAAATGAGGAAATAATGTTTTTGTGTGTGAATCTTCAATTTAACAAGGAAATATTTGTTTTTCTCAAAAAAAATCTTCAGTAATCAGGGCTTTTCTCTTATTTTTTTATTTTTAAAAATAATAAATCATTCATTATTTCTTAATCTTAAAATAAAATTAATTCCATGCTTAGAGAAGTATTTTAAGGAAAGGATATGAAGCAGTAATAGACTGGGAAACTGCAGTTTGGACAGAGGCAGCCCATCTACAAAAGCACATTTATATATAAATATATTAAATAAAATAAGTTATACCTGTTACTGGTTTCTAGTATAATTCAGGCTTTCTTTATTCTTTATATAAACTTCTATAAGGTGCTGTTTTTCACCTATGGAATTAGCACTTTGGATTGGTACAGGTAGTCCTCAATTTATGACCTCAGTTGAGCTCAAAAATTCTTTTATTAAGCAAAACATTTGTTAAAGTGAATTTTGCTCCATTTTATGACCTTTCTTGCCCCAGTTGTTAAGTGAATCACTGCATTTATTAAGTTAGTAATACAGTTAAGTGAATATTGTTTTCCAGATTCTTGCTTGCCAGAAAGTTGAAAAGTGATCATATGACCCTGGAAAAATAAATACCTATCAGTTGCCAAATGTCTGAATTTTGATCATGTGACCATGAGAATGCTGCAGTGGTTGCAAATGTGAAAAACGGTCATAAGTCACTTTTTCAGTGCAGTTGTAACTTCAAACGGTCACTACTGTTATAAGTCAAGGACTACCTGTACTTAGTAAAGAAAAATGCAAAGATAATGTTGAAGAAGGCAGTTTTATTATATTGGTTAATTATGTTATTGCTATATAATGCAATATTCTGCTATGTTGATAAGTTTACTTGACATAAAGAGAACATGGAACAATCACATTACATTACTGGTTAATGCTTTCCTTTCTGAAATGTTTTTTGAGGCCTCAAAGTACACAAGAAAAAAGAGACAATTCCAGGATTCTCAAGTCTCAATTGCTAGACAAAAATATCCAATTCTGATTTTTATATGCATAAATATTAAATCACCTTCATTTTTAATTCTAGATATAGCCAGACGGCCTCTGTGGAACTTGAAAATGGATCAAGCTTTATTACGAATTCATAATGAATTGCTCATTGACAACTTGTCCATTTATTGGATCTCAGATTATTGTTATGAGGTAATTAAAATCTTGAGGGGAGGGGAGAAGAAAGTCCTATAATCAAAATACCTGTAAAATGATTCAAGTTGAATGAAATGCTTCATTTGAATCAAAATGCAATTCAGATTTGTAAACCATGATTCATGTTTGAACTGAGTGATAGTTATGGAAGAAAATTGGTCTAATCAGAAGCAAATATATACAGCTAGCCCAATGAAGTGCATTTTATTTTAGATTCTAGAATTCTGAATATATAAAACCAAGCCAATTTAAAAATCTTAGAATATAATTCTATAGTTTGAACAGGCAACTATTTCTTTTAGCACAATCAAGGATCCAGTAATCCTTCTATTTGTTTTTCATTTTAAAGGTAATATTGGTTCATCTACTGCAAGGCAAATCAATTTATTGTGGTCTTTATTCCTTTCCCCCTCATTTTTTAGTGTTTGCAACAGGAGCTGATTTCTGTCCAGATAAACAGAACATCCAAAGAAACTCACTTTGTAGCTATTGATACTCAGCATGCTCTCAAACTGATGGTCAATAATTTTAAAGAAGGAAAAGAACTGTGCAGGTTAGTCCTTTTAAGATGCATAGCTTCTGCTATGTGGTTATCACTTAAAGAAATCACAGAAGTATTGTAAGTAAGTTACTTAGACAATTTATCCAAAAAGGGATTAAAATGTCAATTTAGGTATATTATTTAAGTTTATACTAAAATATTAATGTTATGTAAACAAAATTCAATAGGCAACTGTAGTTGCTAACTTTAACATATCCAAACATCTGTGTAAAAGCAAAATTATATTAGAAAAAGTGAAGTAATAAATGGTAAGATAAACAGTTCAAAGATAGAAATCACAACAAATGAAATGAGTAGTATATATAATATGAGGAAAGTGAACATATTGGGAATTGTGGAAATTTGCATGTATTCCATAAGCTTACATCTCAGTAAGAAAACATCCAACTATATTTATAGTGCTTAAAGCTCTATTTCTTTAGCGCTTGTAAAGTGGTCAGGTATGTTGGTGTCTCTCAACTTTGTGAGCAGTAACAGCATTTTATGTGAGACATATAAAACCTCTTAAGAATTTTGATAACCTCATGTATCAAATATTAACACATTTGGAAAATTGGATGAGTTTAAGTCAAGATTATGTTCAATGGAGTTATTTATATTTAACTCTTTTAAACTTTTAAGGGCACTACTTCTGTTCATATGTTGTCAGAATTGTTCTAAACTGAACTAACTTCACAAGTATTTTTTCCTCTTTGCTGTCTCTAGGATTCATTATCATTTTGGAGAATATGGAAACTATTCCTTAAGGATTAGACATCTCCAGAACAACATCATGAACATTACATGTGATATAGTTATCAATCAAAGTCCTCTCAACAGCTATCTCCGTATGTTACTTTAAACTTTTATATAACTTGTGTTGTTTTTTAGTTGCCTTAATGCTTGCCTTAATTCATTAGAAAACTGACTAGTTGTAGTACAGTTACGTTTAGCTTAACTATTTCTATGCAGATGTGCTATCCCATCTCAGTTCACCCTATATCCTATAGGGCAAGAGGAACCTAAGACTTGCAGAGTGGAATTCGCCAACTAACTGCAGTCACTTCTGAACAGTTCAGCCTGTTTACTTGATTACCGTATTTTTCGCTCCATAAGACTGCATTTTTTTCCTCCCAAAAGTGGGTGGAAATGTCTATGCATCTTATGGAGCGAATATGGGCGACAGGCAATAGTGGCGAACAGTGGCAGTGATACCCACCACCTGGAACAGCTGATCGGTGGTATTCCGGGGGGCCGATCCAACTGCCAAGCAGCTGCTCAGAGGCAAAGGCTCCAGCATTCCCCAGAGGAGGCAGCAGACACGGAGGAGACAGGCTGTTTCCTGTTTGCTGCAAGGACACTAGCCAGATGAATACGAGACGGATGCTGGGAGGCAGAGGCAGATTCCCCCCCCACCCCTTGTTTTCTCCCTCTAAACCTAGGAGCTTCTTATGGAGTGAAAAATACAGTACATTATAACTTTCACAGGCTTCCACAATGGGTCAACTGTAGCATTATATTCAGTTATGATGAGTACAAGATTCTGCATTGGACAGGAAAAATCAAACAAGATATGGGGAGACATTGCTTGGCAACATTGAGTGTAAAAAGAATTTAGGACACCACATGAGCATTAGCTGAATTAATGGAAGCATTCCATCCAGGATATGGAACATGTTTGGGATTTATTCTCTGTTAAAACTGGGAATAGAATAAAAACCAATAGGGTTGAAATTAAAGAATTTATCTTAATATTAGGAAGAATTTTCTAAGAATTAAGCAGTAAAATAATCTGCCTAGAACAGTGGTAAACTATCCTAAGAGCCATGGTGGTGCAGTGGTTAGAATGCAATATTGCAGACTAACCCTGTCCAATCCCAGGTGTTTGATTCTCACTGTTGACTTAGCCTTCCATTCTTCCAAGACCAGATTGCTGGGGACAATGTGCTGAGTCTGTAAACTGTTTAGAGAGTGCTGTAAAGCATATGAAGCTATATATAAGTCTAAGTACTGTTGCTATTGCTATCCACTCAGTAGTTTTCAAATATTAAGGATAATTAGTAGATTAATAGGGTTGGAATAGAAAACTAATTATAAGACCCTTCTAATGGTGTGATTATTATGAGTGTTGCATTTGCTTCTGTTGAAAAAAATGAAAGAATATAATCAATTATAAAAATAATTGGATAAATAAAAATATTTCTCCCTGCTCCTTTCCTACCTCAAAGCAGTGTATGGTTGAAAGAAAAACCTGTGGATATATAGTTAGCCCTTTAATTATTACAAGCATTTTAATGTTTTCTTTTAAAGTTTTGTGACCAACAGATAAAAAATTATTTAAAATATATAAGCAACATAAATGGAAGTACTGTCTAAAACAAATCATGACAGCTCAATGAAAAAAAATCCTCAATTTACAAAAGTTCATTTAGTGACCAATAGAAATTACAATGCAAAAAGTGACTTCCGATCATTCGTCATACTTAAAACTATTGCAGCATCCCCATCGTCACATGATCCAAATTCAGATGCTTCAGAAGCAACTAACTCATATTTATGATGGTTGTAGTGTCTCGGAGTCACCTTCTGACAAGCAAAGTCAATGAGGAAGCCAGATTCCGTTAACAACTGTTTTACTAATTTAACAATTGTAGTGAATCACTTAACATCTGTGGAAACAAAGATTTAAATTGGAGCAAAACTCAGATGACAAATGTCTATTTAGCAAAAGAAATTTTGAAGTCAATTGTCATATGTCGAGAACTACCTGTATCAACACTAACTGCTACAGGCCTCAGAAAAAGGACAACTATTGCAGCACCATGGCTCTTATTTCCAACCTCTTGAGTCAGTCCAGAAGGATGCCATGATTGATTGTATCAATCAACCCACTGAGAGATCAAAGAAAGCCAGTTGGATGGACTACCCATCCCACCCCCACCAAAAGCATGATTAGTGCCACCTTTCATTAAAAGGAAAATTGGTTGAAATTGTCCAGTATGGGATTCTTGAGGAGAGGGCAGACAACTACCTCTTTGAAGACAAGTGGAGTCACCTTCTTCCTAGCGTATTCCTGCAAGTGCAGGGTCCCCCTTTTGGATCATTGCACGGTCAGTTACGTCTTCAGGGCACAGGCCCGCGCCTTGCATATCATTGTTGATGGTGTCTTGCCATCTCTGTTTTGGGTGCCTGCAAGGTCGCTGGCCATTGACTTCTAGTTGGTAGGCTGTTTTGGCAATGGTAGAACGTGCTGTTCTTGGGACATGTCCATACCAGCGGAGCCGGCCTTCTCTCATCTTCTCTATAATTGGTGCCACACCAAAATGTTGTCGAATGGTGTCATTTGTGATGTGTCAAGAAGGGAGATGCCCAATATCCAATGGAGCATTCACATTTAGATGGAGCCACCTTCTCCCATAAGAAAATATTAACCTTACACAGATAGCGGAACTCACAAATTCAAAGACTTTATCTACTTCATCATAATTAAAAGCTTCAAACTCTTCCCAGATTATCACTCATGATTATGCCTTAGTGCCATAGGATCTGTACCAAAGGTGCTTTTTTCAAGAGGCAACTGGATTTTCCGGGGTAGGGTGGGGTGGGGGGGGTTTCTTTGAAACTGTTTCGCTTCTCATCCAAGAAGCTTCTTCAGCTCTGACTGGATGATGGGGAATGGAAGGATTTATACTCCTTGCAGACAGTTGGTCATTTGCATCCTTTCAGCGAGTCATAGAGGCCACCTGGAGGTTTATCTGTGTAATCAGGATCACCTGAATAGTGCAAATGAGTGTGGAGCCTTGTTGGAACTGTTGAAAGGACTGTATTGTAGACTGGAGATAGATGATGTCTTATCCCTCCCCCTCTGTTGAGAGAGGGCTGTTCAATTTTGACATAGATGGCTTCTTCCACCCCTTTTTCAAACCAGCGGTCTTCTCTGTCCAAAATGTGGACTTTGCTGTCTTCATAAGAGTGTCCTTTGTCTTTTAAATGCAGATTCAGATGCTGAATCTAGTCCTGACGGGTTTGTTCTCCCATGTTGTGCTTTGTGTTATTCCATTCCCCACCATCCAGTCAGAGCTGAAGAAGCTTCATCACCCTGGAGCTGAAGTTCTTTTGTCTTGTGAATAGGCTGGCCCAATCTTTCTTAATGGGCACAAAATATCTGCTGGGGCTATTAAGAAAGACTGAGTCTGCTTTCTGTCTTTAAGAGCATGTTTCTCCATTTCTCCCTTTGGGGAAATATAATCTGCTTCTTTTAATATTCCCCAAAATATTTCATTCTTGGGGGGCGGGGGGGGGGGGCTTCCCACAACAGTAAAGGCTTTTGTTACCTAAGCCACTCGCAAGGCAAACAGCCATGGCTAACACATTCTTTTCAATGTGTATTCCTCATTGTGTACCTGCTTACTCTTTTGTAATCTCCTCTCCAAATAATGTAAATACAGAAACATTAATGTAAATATAAACCATCTTGCCAATTAGCCCAGTTCTGGTGTGAGCCTTCACTCCAGGATAGGGGAATGGGGGAAAGGGCTATAAGATTTGTCCTTTTTACCTGGCTTCCTTATAAGTCAAGTTCTAGATAGCTTTCCAGCCATTTGGATTCATTTGTTTGGGATCATAATCTTCTGATGCTTAACCAAAAGAAAAGGTTGAAGCAGAATCATAAGAACAGTTATGGTTATATTATTTTTCAATTAGCAGATACTTCATTTAATTACTGAGTTGCCAATCCCAATTGTAGTTGCTACATGAGGACCATCTGTAGTTAGCCGAGCATCTTTGGACTTTTATTTCTTTCCCATGTCTAAAAGACTTAATGTTGCATGTCTTTGGAACATGCCTACTATAGGTTGGATGAATGTTCTCAAGGTTTTCATCACCTCTCAGTTCAATCTTTATATTGATTTATAATATCATTCCATAATAGAGGAGAGTACAGGCAGTTAACTTTAGAGAGCTTAAATAACTCAGGCTTTCCTATTACCATTGTTTTTCTCCTAAATAACATTTGTCTTTAGTATTCTTTTATGCAATCTCTAGCCTTAAAAATATTGATGAAGGTTTAATTTCTGTCTTTAGTATTTTCCATTCCACATGTTCTGTATAAAGCTATCTGTTGTGCAGCAAGAAATGAGGTTAGATTAATAAATAAGTGAAGTCCAAATTTGTTCAAGAAATATAAAAAGATATGTTACAGGAGCACACACTATGTTCTTAATTTACAGGCACATCTTATATCAATTGCATTTACTGCTTTTTATATTACTTGTATTGCAGCTGCTTCCCCCACTCTCCTCTATATTCTTGATGCTCATGATTTCAACAGAACCGTTTCCATTTATATTGCTGCAATATCTTTGATCATTTCTTTCTGGCAGCTGTCAAAGCACATTAGCAAGAAATATAGTTACATAGGCTATTTTTAGGGTATTGTATGGAAGTCACAATTTTTTTTATTATATTTGAACCCACCTCATTTTACTTATCTATGGTTTAATCTAAATATTTTAATATGTTGTTATACTTTGCTATGATGTAATGTCTAATCATTTTTTTTCCTAACTAATCCTTTTCCAGGAAGCCTACATAAAAATGTTTATTATAGTGAAGACCTTTCATAATGCTTCTTGAAAGAATTGAATAATTTAGAAGTTTTGGTATTTCACAAATCGTTTGTCAAAAAGTGAAAAAGAAATCCATTTTATGGTTTACATTAAAGATGGGAACACCATGCTCTCTTTTTTTGTGTGGTTTTACAAAGTTTGGTTTCAACCTTGGAAATAAAGTTTCAATTATAAGCCTAATAAACACAAATGGACCTTTGTTTTTGTTTTTTAAAATTATATGAAAGAATTTGCTCTAGAATGTATACTTTATTGTTTACAGTAATTATGTTTTCTTTTATGCAGCTATTTTATTTGCATTTCTCATCTACATGGGTATTTTCATTATTCTGATGATTGGACAGATTTGCATAAAGTAAGTAAATATTTAAAATGAGACTAATTGGATATATACATTATTTTTCTATATTTGCATGTTAAACCTTAATTTAATCGTTGAACAATATGGCAGTCTTTTGATATTTTTCCCAGAAATCTTTCTCAAAATGTATGCTTTTGGAGAAGTATTTTTTATGTTTATTAAGGAAAGGGCCTTCAGTGGGGACTTTCTTTCTCCACTTAAAACTTTATCAGTTGGCTCCCAGAATTGTTTTGTTTTGAGAGAAAATTGTTTCAATGGCTTTAAAGTGCTTGATTGTGACAATGTTTTCAGGATGATGATTTCAGAAGAGCATTTGTGGTATTCAACACTAAAATCTGATTTTCTAAATTTCTGTTTTATAGCACTGAACCAGTAAGAAATTGGTTCTTCAAAAAGATGGATCCTAGAGAAACTGATCGACTTATTAATTCAGTAAGTTCTTTAATAGTGGGATCATATAAATTATTTTTTAGACTTCACTCTGTGGTTTTCTGACACAAATAAGTAATGAAAGCTTAACTACATCGGCTGATAATTAGATTGTTCTCTTTACAAATAAGTTGTCTTCAGATGAGTTCAATCATGCATGTTGACCATTAAGCCTGAGAGCTTTATGATCATGAAATAATTGTGTAAAAACCATCACAGATAATCTTCAAAGCATTTGAAGGTAACCTAACATCACTGCAGCTGAGTTGCTTTTAATATAAATGCTTCAGACATTGAATGACATATACTAGTTCAATGATTTTTGCTTAAAAAGAGATAGAAGTCAATCTGAGTTTAGTAAAGCTTGCATAAATGGATATCATTGTTTCAGCCTAAATAGATTGATCAATTATCACTGATATGATATTAGTACTGACCTCTGTTTAGTTATGCTAGAGAACAATGCTATACTTAATCTTTGTTTTGCTCTAGAATGAGGCCAAATATAATTAAAAGAGCACCAAATGTGTCTTTGAATTCCTTTTGCATTCTTAATTGCCAATTGGTACAGTGGTGAATGTACAGAATTAGCTCAAGCTATTGGGGTCAATGTGCACATGTGGACATTTAAGAATATAGGCACTACTCTCACCATATAGTTGCTGTGGAGGGCATGACTAAATACTACAATAAAATATCTGTTTCTGAGATGGCTAATTGTTAAAGCAAAAAGAGAGAAAATTGATGAGTCTTATAAAACCAATTAACTTGTCCCCTAGTCTTTCAAGAGCTGAGCTCTGAGCCCCCAATATCAAACTATGTATTTTTCCATAGAAAGCATAGCACAGCATTTTATTTTATTTACAGTCAGTGACCAGCAAAGTAGCTATAATACTAAAACATCACATAAAAGCAGGCTCATATACAATAAAAGCAATACAGTAAAACCTGTCAAGCACCAGGGATCTCTTGTGGGCACACAGGGACTTATGACTGATGACGCATTTGACTCTTCCTTCAGGCTCAAGTGTGTCATCTCCTACAAAACCACTACCAAAACCTGATGATTAAAATGTACAGATTCGAGAAGTAAACAAAATAAAAGAAGGTAAAACAAAATAGATAAAAAAATAAAATTAAGATAAAAAAATAAAATAACTTCTTTATGACATAGTTCCAGGATTATGACATCTTAAGCATTTCTAAGCAATGGCAATGTTCTGCCAAGAGTAAGAACATAAAAATGAATCAAAACGATGGCTCTGCAATGTACTGAACAAACCAGATTGAATAGGTAATTTTCAGATCTGAAAGGTTTCCAGGAAAGAAAGCTAACAAAAAGACTGCAATAATTCAATTGGCTACAATTTTTACTTTCCACCTTGACATAAAGTCATCAAGAAAAAGCTTGAGCCAATAAGAGAGACCGCAAATACAAACTGCCATCTCCAATGAGATCGTTTCGCTTTCCATGTGAATTAGATTTGGAACACAACATGGAACCTTGAAGAGTACTTGTGAAAGTTTAGATTGAATAGCATGCAGAGGTTTTAGATGAACATAGCAGTGGTGGGTTCCTCCCGGTTCGGTCCGATTTGGCCGAGCCGATAGCGGTGACGATATGATGTCACCGAAATGGGTTTCCCCCCCCCCCGCCCTCCCCACCCACCCACCCATGTTATTCTTACCTTTTATTTGGTCTCACCCCCAATCTATTGCTGCCTCCTGAGTCCCAGCTGATGACTAGAGGGAAAAAAACTGTTTAAACTCTTGCCGCGGGGCTTCAAAGGGCCGTCCTACAGCTGATCAGTGTTAAAAGCAAACAAATGAGTCGGGTCGTAAGTGTGAGGACTGGTCGTAAGTGCGAGGACCTTCCAGAAATGACTGACCAGCTAGCCACGTCCACCTAGTCACATGACCTCCAAGCCACACCCACAAAATAAGCCACGCCCACAGAACCGGTAATAAAAAAAAATTAGAACCCACCCCTGAAACATAGGGGCATATTTCTGTGCATTTGAGATATAGATTCAGCTTTCAACAGTTTAATGGCAGGAAGTATGCATTCCCCTTGCTTAGAGTGGTGAAAAACCCCCAGGATTGCCTTGATGCTATTACTGTCTTTGGCAGTGAAGACTCTAGATTGTTTTAGCAACTTTTCAGAGGCTTGAAATATCACTACAGGACATTTAAAAGCTAGAATTTGAAATTTTTTTGAAGTTCCTATTTGCCATTGGAGTTTGTGGCAAATAGATCTTTCCAGGAAAACTTTAATTTTAGTCTTGGATTATTTGTAAGTACTCATTTCGCAAAAGACAGTCAAAATATTTTCTGTGCCATTACCTATAATCATATCCATGCTAGAAATGCTTTGGTAAACAGCATGTTAATACTGAAATGTATAATTAAAAGACCAGATAAAATATCCAGAATATTTAAATTTTTAAAAATTTAGTTGAAAAACCATACACTTAGGAGAGGAGAAAAAATAGAGAAACCCCTACAGGAGAAAAATGAGGCATTTAGCATCTATTAAGGAAATGCTAGGTAGCCCTCAACCATTTTCTTTCAAAATGTTCCTTTTGAATGCATGTGTTACATTTTAAAATATAATACTGAAGCTGGAAATATGCTACATGTTTTGTAGCATGACTTTTCAGACAGGTTATGGTAAAAAATAACTTCCTTAAATATTATATAAAAACTGTATATTTTAAAACTGTAAAATGAAGTTAAAAATAAAGACAGGAAATTGCTACAATTGAAGGAAAACAATGCTAGAATTATCCAATTCAATACAGAACATCGCATGTGAAAAATGGAGGAAACATTATGAAAAGACAGGATTACTAATTTTATAACTTAAGTTTTCATAGCGAATCTTTCCTTCTCACCTTCATTTTTCAGGAGCTTGGATCCCCAAGCAGAACAGATTCCATTGGTGGTGAATTCCCAATAGGGGCATGGAACACTGCTTCCTCTCTACAGAGACTTCGTTCCCTCGATACCTTCAGAGGGTAAATTGCAGTTCTGGATAATTCTTTACAATTTTTCTGTAAATGTCTTTGAGGATATTATCACATGAGATTTATAGGTGCAGTATTCACTACTGAATACTACTGGTGTAGTAGTGGCAGCTACCAAAGAGTGGAACCCACTTGTTCTTTACAGTGATGCTGTAAGTAACGACAGAACAATAGAACTGGTACAATCTGTTAAAACTGATATAACTGGCACTTCCTGTTCTTTACACGAGGAACTGGACTCGTGTAGATTCACTTCATATGTCCCTGAGGTAACAGAAATCATTATCTTGGTTTTGGAGGTTCTGATTTCCTGTAAGGTTGTTGTTTGTTAAATAATTGAGCTTAGAGAACGCAACACACTTAAGGCTCTTCTGGATGGGATGAATGATCTGGTACCTGTGAGCAACATCATATCTGCTTGAACCCTCATCAGATTCAATCTTGTTTTGGGGATTAGGATATTTTCCATTTTATTTTTTCGCATTGTTTTTTTTTTTAACTGAGAAGCTGCACCTTTTTTCTTTTGAGAAAATCTAAATTGTAGCAGAAGTAAGATCTGATAAAACTCATGTCGATCAATGGGTACATTACATGGGTAATTTGTGGGTAATAAAAACACAGATACTGCAATCAACATACCATTTTGAAATGTATGCACAAGAATATGGAGGAGGAGACATGAAAAAGGTTGTACTGTATGTTGCCTTCTTGGGAGGGGGCTAAACTAGTCTGCTGGGTTACTTTGAGGAAATGAAAGAATATGTCTATTTATTTTGAATACTTCTATTTCTTTGATGAGCTTTCTCAATCTGATGCCATTGACATGACCATCAGCATTGGGTGGCAATCAGGGAAATATATCCTAATATACCTGGAAAATTCATGTTGAGCAACTCTGTTGTTTATTTCTTAAATTTATGTGCCACCCATTTTATCAAAGATCCTGTCAGCCGAAAATTCTTGATTGACAGGGTCTGCAGCAGGTGTCCACTGCCAGCACAGGTAGTTCTAGATCGTTCTCTAGAATCTGCAGTTTTCTGGTATGAAATGGAAATTTTGTTGAGCTAGTTGGGTGAGAACAAATGTAATCTGGTTTTTGGAACTTAGATCTTACCTTTGTCTACAATTTAGATTTGTTAAATCAAGTTATTTCCCACAATGCTTTATTTATTTTCTGTGAAATGTATGTTATATGTAAAACAGGAATTCAAAAGAGTTGTATTTCAGAATTTCCCTCTTTTGTGTACTTACATTGTTGAACATTTTTTTCAGCCTTAGCCTCTAGAAGGAATCTTGGAGGTTTTCTAGTTTAATCCCCTAGTCAAGGCAGAGGTGCCCTTATACCTTACCAGAAAACTGTCCAATCTTTTCTTGAAAGCCTCCAGGGATTAAGGATTTACAATGCCGGGAGACAAGCTATTCCATCAGTTAATTGTTTCCACTGTCAGGAAAATTCTCCTTAATTCCAGACTGGATCTCCCTTTGTTGAGCTTCCATCCGTTGTTTCTTGTCCTGCTGTCAGGTGTTATGGAGAATAAATTGAGCCCCTTTTTCATGTAACAGTCTTTTGAATACTGGAAGACGACTATCATATCCAAACTTTCTCTTTGGTAGACAAAAGATATGTAGTTCCCTTAGCCACTACATTATACAATGTAGTAGTAGGCAATTTTTATTGTCCATATTTTTTTAAGTGGCCATTTTTTCCATGTGAAAAATCCTGGAAGCCCCACCTCCAAGATGAACTCACCTGAGAAACATCTAGCTTCAGGTTTCTTCAAATGTCTTATATTTATATGCAAACCCAGTAGTGAAATGGGCAATTTCTGCTCATGTGATTCCCGAGTCCTGGATAGAGCTTTCATTCCGGCCCCAAAAACTCTTAAAAGTTCCCATCACACTGGCTGGGTGAGCACGGTCCAGGAAAAAAAAATGAGCATTTTGAGATTGATCATATTTTTCTGGCAACTATTTTGTGAAAGTATTCATGAAATCTTTTAAGTATTTCTGCTGGTCCCTTTTGATGTTGCTATATCCCACCCACCTACCCCATTTTAAAAAAAAAATCTTTGGTAACATTTAAAAGGCATCATTTTCTCTGTTGTCACAATTTTGAAGATAAAAGTATTGGTCAAATTTGCTAATTTAAGATTTATTGAAAAACAATATTTTATCACTGTAACAATGGAAAAAGCGCATTCAGAATTGTTAATATATACATTCAGTGTGTGATTATGATATCTATTTGACTTTATAGCCTGGCACTTACAATTATGATCTTTGTGAATTATGGTGGAGGAAAATATTGGTTCTTCAAGCATCAGAGCTGGAATGGTAAGATATTCAAAATCCATTTGTCCTTCCACATTAATTATATAAAATGAAATTGTCTCATTTACTGTTCTGCTTTGGGAGTTTTTTAAATTTCACTGTTGCAACTAATGTTCAGTAAGGCTAACTGATAGTTGTAGTTGGACAAACAGCCATGAGAGAAAGAGGAAAAAAGGGAGGAGTGGGACCTGTATGAATGTAGTTTGGAATAAATTCTTCTTTTTTTAGTTTATTCACGTCAGAATACTACTTTTCAATATGCAGACCTTGTATTATAGGTTTTAGAAAGTTCAGAGTGTATTTGTTAACTGTTAATACTTTAGAAGCAAATATTTTATTTAAGTATCTTAGAATAGTAGTACTCCGTTGTTATGAACATTAATTGTCTGTTAATGTCTGTTTCTCTTTATAGGCTTAACAATAGCAGACCTCGTCTTTCCATGGTAATTAATGTTGATTACTAATAGCTTGAATTTAACTAAATCCATTCAGAAGAAATCCATATGGGAATATCTCTAATTTGGCCTGTCAGTTTGGTCAGGACAAGTTTAGTTGGATTCTTAATCATTAAAATGGTTACTGTTTCCAGTGACTTTCTTTAAACTGTAGTTTTAGAGTAAACTGGTAATAAATACATGCAATTCCAAAACTTTATTTTTAAAAAAATCATTGGATTTTTAAATGAAATTCCTAAAGTCGTTTTTCCAAAACATAAAAATCTTAACATTATCATGCAGTTCATTTAACTGCTCTAGACTTCCCCACCATAAGAGAGACCCACTGACTGTTTCTCAAGGAAAGAAATACATTAAATCCTTATCTCAGCTACAGTCAGTTGTAAATGTGACATCACCCTGTCTTGTTGCTCTTTCCATACCTCTGCTGGCTCAAGTTTCCTAAGTGGTCCAACTGCTCAATTTCTTCCACCATATGCAGATGTTTCATTGCTGAGAAAGGACTGGGATTGGAAGTCCATGCAGGGTGTGCTTCTGTGAGCTGGGATAATTTTCTGCTAATTTCCCTTTCTCCTTTGAACTATGTTCTTATTTTTGCAGTTTTCCTCAGGAAATCTAAGTATTCATTCTTTCAGAGTCAACTATATTTGATATTTCAGTAGAAATCTGTTTCAATCTATTTTTCCATTTTAGGATTTAAAGAATTTTTACCAGAAACAATAATGTGATTTCACTGAGGAAGTTATACTACAAGTGATAGTACTCCCCACTTCTGGAGGCAAGCTGTTCCATTGATTAATTGTTCTTATTGTCAGAAATTTCTCCTTAGATTGGATTTTTCTTTGATAGATTTCCATCAACTACTTTGTATTCTGCCTTCAGGTGCTTTGGAGAATAGGTCAACCCACTCTTCTCTATGACAGGTCCTCAAATATTGGAAGACTGCTATCTTGTCACACACTACTCCTTTTCTTTGTTAGATTAGACATACTCAATTCTTGCAATTGTTTGTCATATTTTAGCCTCCAGTCCCCTAGTCAACTTTGTTGCTCTTCTCTCAAATCTTTCTAGAGTCTCAACATCTTTTTTGTATTGTAGTGACCAAAACTGGACACAGTATTCCAAGTGTGGTCTTACCAAGGGATTATAAAATGGTACCACACGTGATCTTGATACTATTCTTTTGTTGATTCAGACTAGGACTGTTTTGCTTTTTTGGCAGCTGCAGCACATTGCTGGCTCATACTTAAGTAGTTGTTCACTAGGCTTCCCAGATCCCAGTTTACTGCTCTTAAGCCAGATATCACCTATTCTATTTCTGGACATTTGGGTTTTCTTGCATAAGTGTAAAACTTTACTTTTCTCATCACTGAATTGCATTTTGTTGGATAGGGGCCAGTATTAAAGTCTGTCAACTTACTTCTGGATCTTGAGACTGTCTTCTAGTGTTGGCTATTCTCTCCAGCTTGGTATCATCTGCAAATTGGATGAGTTCCTTTTCTATCCTCTCATCCAAATAGTTTATGAGGATGTTGAAAAGTATTAGGCCTAAAACAGAACCTTAAGGTGCCCTACTGCATACTTGCCTCTATATCAATATAGTTTCATTGAAGACTGCAGACTCAAGACTTCATTGAGTGCAATTGGTCAGCCAACAAATCCATCTAGTGGTGATGCTGTCTATCCTACATTTTTCTATGTTATGAAGAAGTAGGCTATGTCTAAACAGTTTGGGTAAAGGAGGACTTTTGGATGAAAATTTGGAAAGTAACAGATACAAGGGAAGCTCTTACCAAATTGGTAAGTGTAAAAATAGAATGTTGTAGTAGTTGATCTTTGATCAGTGATGAAATCTAAAATTTGTTACTACCAGTTCTGTGGGCATGGCTTGGTGGGCATGGCCATTTTTTTCCCCCTTTTAAAACCATTTTTTCTACAACCTCTTCAGTGAAGAGATTGTAAAAAAATGCTTTCAAAAGGCTCTGACGATCCCAGCTGAGTTGCCTGATCGGCAGAGGCTTTTTTTCTTTTAAAAGCCTCTGCCGATCAGGCAACTCAGCTTGGATTGTCAGAGGCATTTAAAAGAAAAAAAAAATCTCTGCTGATCAAGCAACTCAGCTTGGATCGTCAGAGGCTTTTAAAAGAAAAAAAGCCTCTGCCAATCAGGCAACTCAGCTGGGATCATTAGCTGACAATCCCTTTGACGATCCCAGCTGAGCTGCGCGATCATCAGAGGCTTTTTTTTTTTACTTTTAAAAGCATTTTTTCGGCCGAAGAAGTTGTAGAAAAAATGCTTTTAAAAATTAAAAGAAAAAGCCTCTGATGATTGTGCGGCTCAGCTGGGTGGGGGGAGGGGGGGCAGGGATTTTTGATACCGGTTCTCCGAACCACCCGCCTCCATCGCTACCGGATCAGGTGATCCGGTCTGAACCAGGGGCATTTCACCCCTGTCTTTGATTATATAAAAATGTGTTCCACATAGATTATACTTTGGAGCCCACAAAAGAACTGCTGAGAATATGAATGTCAAAAAAGAGCTCAATGTCTTTTAGAAAATGTCTTATGCATTTTCTAGTAATATTGAAACAAAGTAATAGTTTTCTGGAATTTTTTGTAGATCTTTGGGGAAGAGAAACTGTTCAACTATTTCTCTAATATTCAAATAGTCCTCCTTTCATTGAAGATATGAATACAAGATTCATATCTGTTTCTCTATAGTTTCTCAGTTCTTGAAGTTAATTTCATTATATAATATATATCGTTTTCTGATTTTCTGTTTCTCTTTTTCCTTTCTAGGTTTGTATTTATTATGGGTACCTCTATTTCACTGTCCCTCAGTGCCATGTTAAGACGGGGTTGTTCCAAATGGCAATTGCTGGGCAAAGTCATATGGAGAAGCGTCCTTCTATTTTTAATAGGACTAATAGTTGTAAACCCAAATTATTGCCTTGGACCACGTAAGTGCTAAGAGATTTATATTTTTTATATTGACTAAAAATGTGCCCTTTACTTTGTATATCACAATAGAACTTTGGGAAAAACTGAAATTCATACAGGTGTAACTGTGTACAAACTGTTGCAACTACATGACTTCTTGCAAAGTACTACCATGTTTTCCTGAAAATAAGGCCTATCCAGAAAATAAGGCCTAGCTTGATTTTAGGGGTGCACCTAATGTAAGCCTTAGCCCAAAAATAAGCCCTAGTTAAGACCCCACCCATTCCGTCCCACTGTCTGATTGTACAAGATGGGGTGAGGTGCATGCATAAAAATCAAGCTGGGGCGGGGTGGGGAGTGGAGCTGCCTCACGTGCCCCACACCCCCTTACCTTAGGACTGCCGCAGCCAGGCCTCCCATGCCCCAACAACTGTCTTTCCGCTGCCTGACATCTGCAGCCATTTGTGGCCGGATGCCACATGGCATATTGCACCAGTGCTGCCACTCGCAGCCAAACGCCATGTAGTGTGTCGTACCACTGTACTGCAAGTGGTGGCACCGGCATGATACACCTCATGGCGTCTGCCTGGAAGTCGCTGCAGAAGAACTCAGACAGCGGCACAACAGGTGTCAGGGTGTGGGAGGTCTGGCCACAGTGATCCTAAGATAAGCAGGTAAAACATCCCCTGAAAATAAGACGTGCTTATTTTGGGGCCCAAAAGAAAATAAGAACGGGTCTTATTTTTTGGGAAACATAATTACCTTTCATATTGTTTCCTAATCATTGTAACACCCCATATGCACAATGCACATAAAGGGTGTAAATCTAAGTATTATAAAGGGAGTGGAATGAAAGGACTTTGGAAGCAACATGATAGTTTGGGGGATAAATTTACTTATATTTAATTCAGGTATCAGAATTAACGATTTTTCTTTTGTTCTGATTCATTCATGTTTTTAATCCAGTGTATCATTTTGGAGACACCTAGTTGAAAAAACATTATTTTTTTCTTCTATTATTCACCTCTGAAGTTACATAAATTAATGCTGTTTAGTAAAATTCTCTTATCTATATACTGAAGAGATTCCTACAACCACCACATATTCTGCAGCCTGAAATCCTTTAATTTACTCATATTATCTTACGTTCTCTATGTTAATCTTGGGTACTAAGAATTTTTTTTAATGGTTAAAGAAAGCTTTACACGTTTTTTCATATAGAGATTTGGTACGTGTCAGTTAAATTATCTGGCCTTAAAATCCATGTCATGTAAGCAATAAAAGCATATTGTTACACTTAATTTCCAGACACTTTTTCTTGATCTTTCAGACCCAATCTTTATCATCAGCAGATTGAGATGATACATGGATAGTGACCTTCTCTTTATGATAGAGCGGGGGGTGTCAAACTGGCCAGATACGTCACATGCAGGCCTCACCCACTCCAGCTTCGCAAAGGGAAAAAACATTGCGAAACGTCATGTAACGTTAACATGACGCTGTGAGTTTGACACCTGTGTCATAGAGAAATGTAGATCGCAGAGATGTAAACATTATTTCTCTCTTTTAAGCATACATGGAGCACATTATATATATATATATATATATATATATATATATATATATATATTTCTTTTTCGTAGGCTTTTATGTGCATATTCTTTCTAGCCAGGTTTTACCTACGTAAACTAAGTTGTTCTACAGCCCTGGTTCTGTGAAATCTCATTCACAAGTTTCTGTAAAGGTACAATGTGTCTTTTTCTTTTTCGTAGGCTTATGAAAAATGCACATAAAATGAATATGCACATAAAAGCCTACGAAAAAGAAAAAGACACATTGTACCTTTACAGGGAGGATATCTGAGAAGTGGGTGTGGCTCACTGATGACGCCTTAAAAGGCAGAAATAGCTATCTGAGTCTCCCAGAGAACAACACAGAGTTGCAGTTTGTCAGCAGAAAAAAGGCCCAGAAACTTGTGAATGAGATTTCACAGAACCAGGGCTGTAGAACAACTTAGTTTACGTAGGTAAAACCTGGCTAGAAAGAATATGCATATATATATATATATAATAGTCTCCCTATATATATATATATAATCTCCCTTTATTTCTTTATCAACAAAATATAAATTTGGTATGAAATGGTTTGTCGTGAATGCGAGTGCTTGAAGGCTCCTGGATTGGATCTGAAAGGCGAAAGGGAACCTGTTTAGCCAGGTTCTACCTACGTAAACCAAGATATTATGCAGCCCTAGTTCAATGAAATCACAATTCACTAGTTTCTGGGCTTTTTTTTCTTTTTCTGGCAGCAAGCAGACCCTTTGCTGCCCATTGGGAGACTAAGATAGATCTATTTCGGCCTTATTATGAACTAGGGCTGCATAATATCTTGGTTTACGTAGCTAGAACCTGGCTAAAGAGACATACACATAAAACCTACGAAAAAGAAAGAAAAACAAATATTGTACCTTTACAGGGAGGATACATGAGATGAGGGTGTGACTAACTGATGAGGCCTTATAAGGCCGAAATAGATCTATCTTAGTCTCCCAATGGGCAGCAAAGGGTCTGCTGGCTGCCAGAAAAAGAAAAAAAGCCCAGAAACTAGTGAATTGTGATTTCACTGAACTAGGGCTGCATAATATCTTGGTTTACGTAGGTAGAACCTCAAATGATGATGAAATTGAACTTTTTTTAAAGTGAGCTTCAATGTGCTCATAAGCAAATACCCCCAAAAAATATTTTTGTGTGCATTATAAGCAATTTTAGGGTAATAGTAGGCCGAGGACAAGTTACAAGAATAATAGGCAAGTTTGGGCTAAGTGATCAGAATGAAGCTGGTGATTGCCTAGTACAATTTTGCCAGGCAAATCATCTCAGCATAATGAACACAAGGTTTATTCAACACAATACCTAAATCTAAATGCCAAATGGACAACATTGAAATCAGGTAGATTTCACATTGCCAACAATGCTGGGTAGGTTCAGTTGCATCTATTAAGAGATTCCTGGCATTGATTGTAGCTCAGACCATCAGCTATTAATGGCTAAACTGTAGCTCAAACTGTGAAAAGTGAAAAAAGGTACTATCTTCCCAAAATTCAACATGAACCACTTCTCAGGTACTTAGGTACACCATAAAAATTAAGAATAGGTTTGAACTATTGAATCTAGAAGGGAAAGATCAAATGAATAGTGGTGCGAGATCCAAGCTAACATCATGGAAATTATTGGAAAGTAAGTTTCATGTCAAAACTAAAGAGAACAAACAAATGGCTATATGACACCATCAAAATAGTTGATCAGCATAGTGCTGCCAGAGCCAAAGGTAAATGTTGAAGTTATAAGCCTGAATGCAATTTTCCAACATGAAGCCAGGAAAGACAAAAATAGGCAGTGGGAGAAGCAGTGTCAACATCTGGAAGAAGCTAACAGGAAGAGACATACCAGAGTCATGTTTGCTGTAGTGAAAATGATGTGATCCAGCCTTTTAGCATAGCAAGAAATTGTTAAAGACAGAAATGGCAATGTAGTGAGGGACCAGTAGAAGTTAAAGAGTAGGTAGAAATAATATACGGAAGGACTGTATAGCAGTTTGATTTACCATCAAGATTACTATGACTGTTCAAATAATTAAGAGCCAAATATCTTGTAAGAAGAAATAGAATAGCCATGGAGAAATTGCTGAACTGGAAAGCCCCAGGTATTAATGGAATACCTACAGTATTATTAAGATTAATGGAATTATGGATTATGGAAAAGGCACATGAATAAAAAAAGGATCTCTATATGTATTTTATATATTGCAGAAAAGCAGACTATGTAGAACACATAAATGATGTTCGGCTTTGTTTAATCTTGGTGTTCCAACCTACCTGATTTGATTTACCAGATCACTATACACTGATCAGAGGTCAACAGTGAGAACACACTGGCAATACAGATTGGTTCAGGATCAGAAAGGGAGTTAGACAAGGATGTATTTTATCGCCATTTTTGTTCAATCTGTATGCTGGAGTGATCGTGTGAAAATTAAACCTGGAACTGATTTGGGAGTGAAGATTGGAGGCAGAACCATAAAGTAATTTGAGATAGGCAGATAATATAGCCCTTTGGCTGAAAATAAGGAATACCTGAAAAAAGTTATCTGGAAAATTAAGGATGAAAGTGGGGGAAAAAGTAGGATTGAGTCTTAACTTCAGGAAAACAAAGATAATGACAACAGCTGTAAATGACTATGAAATGTTTAAAATGAACAACGAGTAAATTGAATTAGTTTAAGAATTTATCTTCTTTGGATCAAAAATTGTTCAAGATGGTAGTTGAAATCAAACACAGAATACCTTAAGCTGCACTGCAGTGGTTAACATGAATAAGATCTGGGAAAGCAGAGATATTGATATAAATACAAAAAGCAGACTAATTAGAGAAATAGTCTTCCCTATAATGATGTAGGGATATGAGAATTGGACAGTAAGAATGGCTGATTGAAGAATTAATGCCTTTGAACTGTGGTGTTGACATAAATTATTGCATATACCATGGACAGTCATAGAGGCGTGCTGAGTTATATAAAACCAGAAACATCATTAGAAGCCAAAGTTACAAGACTATGTCTGATTTACTTTGGCCATGCATGCAACTTCATTAGAGAAGTCAATGATGCTAGGAATGGTTAGTAGATCAAAAAGAAGGGGCAAGTAAAGAACAGACTGCCTTGATTCAAAGAAACTGTGCTTGACAGAGTAGCATGGAGAGCATTTGCCTATAAAGTCACCAAGTGTCATGGCCCCATCGGAGCCTGGGGCTGAGGAGGAGGACGAGACACAGTCGGGGCTGATGGCGGATGGCACGGCCTCTCTGACCCTGGAGGAGTGACCAGGGGAGCAGGACAGGCAGTTCCATGTCCCTCAGGCCTTGGAAGTGTGGCCAGCAACAGAGAGAGGGCTCAGGTCAACCAAGTGAGGGAGGAGAAGAGGGAAAGAGTAGGAGTGGAGCAGAGGAGCTCTAGGGAGGAGTGATTGTCTTCCCCACCCGATCCTGAATCACAGAGGGTGGAGAGGAGGCGGGATCAGTGCAGGGTGAACCAATAGCCCTGGGGGGAGATCACCTTGCCCTTTGTCACAAGGCTCACCTGGGGAATAAGATTTAAATTGACGCCGTGGGGAGGGGCCCTTGTTGAGAACAAGTGTTGCCTTTTTCCAACATGCTTGGTGACATCTTGCCACCTTGTCTTAACTGTGCTTAGCCTTGCTTTGCCTGAGTTCGACTTGTCTTGCTTTGCCTGGCCTGGCCATGGGTGAGTATTCAGCGACACAACTCTGTTTTGAGTTGTGCTGCAGCCCCAGCAACCCTTCCATGCGACGAGGACTCCCTGGAACCAAGTTTCCTGAACTCACATCAGCCATGAACTAGTGGAGGTGCGTGTGTTTGTTTGGAGTGTTGCTCTTGGACTTACAATGAATTGTGGGAACTTTGGGGAGAAAAGTTGAAGCAATAAAAGGAAGTTAAGCCTTCACTCCTACTGTGTTGCTTTCATGCCCAGACCTGGGTCATCATACCAAGATTCAGGCATGACTGAACAGTTAAAACTAAATAATTACACAGGACTAGGTGTGACTTGATAACACTTTTTTAATATTTGAATGACTGTCAATGAAAGGAGGGAGCGACATATTCTCCAACACACCTGAAGGCAGTACAAGAAGCAACAGATAGAAACTTATCAAAGAGAGATCCAACCTAGAACTAAGGAGAAATTTCCTGACAATGAGATCAGTTAATTGCTTGAATTGCTTACTCCAGAAGTTATGAGTGCTCCATCACTGGAGGTTTTTAAGACAGCCACTGGAGGTTTGGACAGCCATTTAAAATGGCATAAGGTCTCCAACTTGAGCAGAAGGTTGGGCTACAAGACCTCTGAAGTCCTTTACAACTCTGTTATTTCGTTACTGTTACATTCACACACAAAGTAGCACCACTTTTCTAATATAAGAAAATAAAAAATGGAGTATCTTTGTCTGGCCACAGTAGAATTCGAAAATAGGGGAGCTCTGCATTTCAGTGATCTTTAAAAACTAATATACTATAGCCTTTGTTATTTTGACATTTCCAAACATGAATTTATTTTTATCTAATTATATACCTATTTATAGAAAAAAGATTGAGTGGTAAGAATCCAGTTGAGAAATTTCATAAATGTTCAAAATCTTTTTTGTTTTAGAGCAATATAGCCAGGATAGCTTGAACACCTAATAAGATGGAGTAACAAGAAATTGATGACTACTGAGATTAATACTGGAATTATTAACTTCAATAGTCTCTTAATTTTCTTGATTGGAAATGAGAAAAATAATTCGTTTAAGATTTTCCTTGTTTCCTACAGAATATTTCTTAAAGTAATTGGGTTAATTTGCTTAGATTAAAATACAGTTGTAACACTATTAATTTGGAAACAATATATATTGATCAGTATCGGATCTACTATATCCATTATTCTGTAAACTTTTATGCTCACTTATATTGCTTTTATTTGTTTTGGTTTTTTTAGTTTCCTTGGATAATCTACGAATTCCAGGTGTGCTCCAAAGATTGGCTTGCACGTATTTTGTTGTTGCGACGCTAGAACTGCTCTTTGCCAAACCTGCACCTGAGAACAGTACTCTGGTCAGTGAATGGTTTAATAGTAGTATTTCAACTTAAAGTGAAGAGAGTATAGCCTTTTTCTAATTCAAAGTATTTAATTAAAACTGCTTCAATATGAAATTTAGAAACACTGAAATAGAGCTTATCAAATGTACCAAACACAAGTATCAGTTATTTCCCTTGCTTCAATAGTTAACTTACCACAATATTTATGGAAATTCTGTCATCCAGGTCATAATTGTCCCAAAGGTACTTTTTCAAAAAGCAATTGAATTTTCTCTGATTTTCCTTGAAGACATTGAAGACATTTCTCATTCAAGATGCTTCCTCAGTTATGACTGGTTGTTAGCATTCTCTCTGAGAGTCATTGAGGCCATTTGGAGGTTTATCTGTGCCCTCAGGGTCATCTGAATAGTACAAATGGGTGTGGAACCTTGGAACTGTTGAAAGAACTGTTGTAAATAGGAGATAGGTGGCACTGTATCCTTCCCCATCTGTTGAGAGAGGATTGTTCAATTTTAATATAGATGGTTTGTTTGAGTCTTTTTTTCAAACCAGCAGTCCTCTTTCCAGTATGTGGCCTTTGTCTTTCAAATGCAGATGGACAGCTGAATCTTGTCCTGATGGGTTTGTTCTCCTATGTTGTGCCACGTGTTTTGTTTCTTTGTCCGTAACAAAGAAGAGAACAATAAAGAAAACAACCATGTCATTCCATATGTTTCAAGAATATCTGAAAAGCTCAGGAGGATTTCAACCAATACAACATACTGTACATGCACATGTTAAAGCCCAAGAATACACTAAGGCAGAAGCGTGTCCACCCCAAGATTGAAACACCCAGACACAACCTGAGCAATGTGATATATGTAGTACAATGCAGTGAGAAATGTGCAGATCTGTGCTTTGGAGAAATAAAACAAACACTTCACAAACGCATGGCACAACATAGAACAAACCCATCAGGACAAGATTCAGCAGTCCATCTGCATTTGAAAGACAAAGGCCACTCTTTCGAAGACAGCAAAGTCCACATTCTGAACAGAGAGGATAGCTGGTCTGAAAGAGAGGTCAAAGAGGCCATCTATGTTAAAATTGAAGAGCCCTCCCTCAACAACCCCACCTATCTCCTGTTTACCACAGTTCTTTCAGCAGTTCTAAGAAGGTTTCGTGCCCATTTATACTATTCAGGTGACCTTGAGGCACAAATAAACTTCCAAGTGGCCTCAATGACTCTCAGAATGAGTGCTAATGTAAAGCATTCTCCAATTGGGTCCAAAAGGTGACGTCAGGCATCCCATAGAAGCCTAGATTATTAAACTTTTCAAGGATAAAGTTGCTAATTTCTGCCTCTTGTTCTTGTCATTCAGTATTTGAAATGTGTTTAGGTTATAGAAAGTTTACTACCTGGACATAGTTCTTTGATCTATTTCTTAGAACAGACAAAAGAGACAGCACTTAGTTTTAAAGCCCAAAACAAAGTGGAGCCCTTCTCTTCCACACCAATTGAACTACGTATTAAAATGCGGATTTAAAGCACTCCTTCAAATATCTAGATAGGATAGGTAATGAACCAAAGAAAGGAGTGAGGAATGGGCTTTGGGATTAGATAGCCTTTCCTAATGCTTTACTGAGGTGCTTTATTGTTACTAGCTGTTTTAATGTTTAATACTGTTAACATTTGTTTAATTGATGTTTTCTTTGTTAATGAATGTATTGCTTTTTTATGGATTGCTCTAAAAATCGAAAATGGAAGAATGATAAAATTATGTTATTAGATAACAACCTGACTGTAGTGTTTGATCTGGACTGAGAACCACTGAAATAGCTTAGACACTGAATGCAAGTGTATTAGTTTTTCTTTTCCATTCTGGAAAAAAAAAAGATTGGACCATATGTCAGTGGCTGAAGTTAACTACTTTTATGAAGATATTTAATAGAAGAAAAACTCTTGAAAGTATACAAATTGTGTTAATAGAGTGAATAACTTCAGCACATCCAGCACTTGTAGGAGTTTCCCAATGAAACTTGAATTACTCACATTTTACTTTTCTTCCTGTGTTTTAATAGGAGACTTCCTACCCTGCTCTTCAAGATATTCTTCCTTATTGGCCCCAGTGGATTTTTATGTTGGCCCTTGAAGGACTTTGGCTGTGCCTCACCTTCCTTTTGAGTGTACCTGGGTGTCCAAAGTCAGTTGAAGCTTAAATCCTTTTTTTTCAATGCTATCTTTTCCAGATACCTATGAGATTTCCTATGCTGTTCTGATTAATAACACTGCAATGTTTAATTTTCAAATAATAATTCTTTGCTATTAGTTAACTTGAGGGACAACTGGCTACAATATTCTCATGAAGAAGCTTCACTGAAATCAGTTGGAGCTAGCTATTCCAGGAATGCTATTTATCCCTAGACTGCCTTTTTTTAAAACAGTGATTCACATATGGAACTCTTAAAGGGCTGTGAAAATGGCTTAGATATGGCTAAGAAATGGCTAAGAATTTTGTCATGAAGTTCCTGTTTTGGGATTTTGATGGACAGTGGGAACAGCAATGAAATGAAATGATGGACATTGGCCAGTTGTGAAAATTATTGACATATTCTGGAAGCTATTAATAGCTTACAAAGCTGCTTTTCTTTATATTAACACTACACAAAAAGAGCTCTTGACCCTTTCAAATCAGTCTGCTCACACCCATGCTAACATATGACTCACAGATTTCCTCCCCCCCTCTCCTGTAGAGGCTACCTTGGACCTGGAGGTATTGGCAGTTTTGGAAAGTTTCCCAACTGTACCGGAGGGGCAGCAGCTTACATTGATCATTTGCTTCTAGGAGGAAAACATATGTATCAACATCCATCTTCTAATGTGAGTTAAACATTCCAAACATCTATCAACTATTTGTAAAATGATTCAACTTACTTAAACGTTTTATCACTGCTTATTAAGAATATTGGAAGGCAAATCGTGATTTTAATTTTTGTAATTCTTCAAAATTGCTGTCAGCTTCTTATTTTCTGTAGTTATTCTTTGAAATCAAGTAACTCCTCCTTAATGTGTTCACATATTTTCATTAGAAATATTTTTAAAATGTAAAGAAAATAAGAATTATATGACAGAACTTTCACTCACAATTTCATTCTAACTAGGAAATCAACATTACCATTCTTTAATTTCTTAAAGTAATGCTATGATTGCACATTGCAGAAATAGTTGAGGTTCTCCATCTCCAAGACTTTAGAAAGCAGATAAAAAATACAATAGCTGGAGCAATTTCACCTATTTTTCAGAAAGTTCTAGTGCTAGCAATAAGAACGGCATGGCTATTTTTTCCCATCTTCACTTTATTTAACTAAAACTATTGAACAATAATTTCAGTGAATTACTGCTATAGTTACAACAATTATGCATTTGTAATACTGTATATACTTGAGTATAAGCCGACCCGAATATAAGCCGAGGCACCTAATTTTTCCACAAAAAACTGGGAAAACTTATTGACTCGAGTATAAACCTAGGGTGGGAAATGCAGTAGCTATTGGTAAATTTCAAAAATAAAATATAGCAGACTAAGTACTGTAAATAAACGTACTGTATATCCAAGATCAGAGATATACCAGTACTTGTATTCAGCAATGCTTGGGCGGAGCAAGGGGGCATGACCAACCACAGGTAAGACAGACAACACAGAAACTGCCAGAGTGCAGGAGAAAAAAAGAGCGGTGATATCAGCAGTTATTGGACCACCCACAGAGGCTGCAGGTGCTCGCAGATGAGCGGGAGAGACCGGAGAACACCCGCACTTGAGTATAAATCAAGGGGTGCTTTTTCAGCATAAAAAATGTGCTGAAAAACTCGGCTTATACACGAGTATATATGGTAGCTCTAAATTTACTATAGGTCTCCTATTTTAAAATAAATAAATAAAATAAATATAGCAAATAAATAAAATTTCTCCATCCAGATGTCTAACATTAAGTGACAGCAGGCACAGGTAACTCCCATGCAATTCCTACTTTCTAACTGGAATGCAATAACTATGCTTATGTGTTGCTCCCAGTCTCGTGACATAGAAATTCAGGGTCAGAAGAAACATCTGAACAAACAATATTTCTAGATCTAAAGCTCTGCATGGGGCTACACTACAGCATTCTGAAGCTTCAACTGGAGGTATAGGCAGTCTTTGGATCCCCTAAAGTGATCTATGTTACGCTTCTGTTCTACAAGCTGCACTTGACTGCTGGTTTGCTTTCGGGGTATTAGTTATCTATAAAGCCCTGCATGGCATGAATCCAGATTACTTGAAGAACCATCTCAACCATGCTGGGTAGAGGATGCATGCTGAAGATCCCATTGGTCAAGGAATTCTAGCTGGTGGGGTCCAGAATTAAGAGCCTTCTCTGCCATGGTGCCAGCTCTTTGGAACATCTTGTGCCCCTGGGGTGAAATCTGCCATCACCCTTCTTCATTAAGAGTCCAAAGCCCTGACTGTGCCATTTGGTCTGGGACCTCAGTGAGGGAGTACCTCCCCTGCTATGCATCCTGCTTCCATTTTTTAATCATAACTTTGTATTCTTACTCTTACTGTTTCGTATACTTATATATTTATTTACTGTTATTAGATTTATCTTTCTATCTATCTATATTTATGGTTTTACTGCTTTTAATGTAAATCGCCCAGAGGTATCTCACAGTGAGCTGGACGACAAATAAATTTTATAAATAAAAAAGGTGTTGCTAAATCAAATTGTATTTAAGTTAGCAACTAATGTTTCTATAAAATTAAACAGAATTTCTAATGTACTCTTCTCAATCTTTAGGTGTTGTATCTTACTACAGTCCCCTTTGACCCTGAAGGAATTTTAGGAACAATAAATTCTGTTCTTATGGCATTTTTGGGACTTCAGGTATTGTATTCTCTTGCCCTACATAAGCAGAAAAATTTCATCAAGTGCTATATAGAAAAATGAGAATTTATAATTCCCTATATGAGTATAAGGGGTGGGTGGCCCTCCCAGAGGGATAATAATACAAGTGTTGTTCAAATAGTTTTTTGGAACAACACAAGGGAATACTTGTTTTAACATTTCAAACAAGTCATAGAACTTCAGAATTATTTAATAACTGCTCTTATTTACAATACAACACAGAAAAACCTTAATATGGTTAAGAAAAACATACTCCAAAATCAGATTAGATGAAGATATTAACAGAGCTATTTAATGCTACATTAGATTTAATGCTGCAATATTTACATCATGTACTAGTTCTCAGTTGCACTCTATTAGTCTGCTAAAGCCATCCTAAGCCACATTTAATGTTCTTGTTTTTCTTCAAGGGAGGAAAAATTCTTTTGTTTTATAAAGATCAGCATAAGCAAATAATTCTTCGATTTTGTGTGTGGAGTATAATAATGGTAAGTTACAAATATTGCCTTGTTAGGTCAAGTACTATATTTCTTTCTCAATTCTTTTAAAGTGTCTATTGTTTTCTGGCAAATTTGGCTCAAAAGAGATGAATATTTCCTCAGCTGCAATAAACTGAATTTCAGTTCTTTAGAGGATCACACTTAGAATGCAAATTAAAATATACAAAAATAAGATAAGAGAACACCTGTCATCTCTAGATGGATTCACTGGGTCCTGATGGACTACATCCCAGAGTTCTGAAGGAAGTGACATGTGATTTCAAAACCACCGAAACATAGCTTTCAAAGTTCTTGGATCACCAGGGAACTGCCTGAAGACTGGAAAAAGAGTTGATATGGTCCCCATTTTAAAAAAGGAAAAAAAGATCTAGGAAAATACAGACCAATCAGCCTGATATCAATCCCTGGGAAGATCTTAGAAAAGTTAATCAAGGAACAAATCTGCAAACACCTAGAAGCAAACAAAATTAAAACAGAAGCCATGCCAAACAAATCTCATTTCATTCTTTGACAAAGAGACAAAATTAGTAGATCAGCAAAATGCTATGGACATAGTATACTTAGATTTCAGTACAGCGTTTGATAAAGTAACCAAAACATACTTCTTGGCAAGTTAGTAGAATGTGAAATAGACAGCACCACCAGAGCAGGTGGGTTTGTGGCTGGCTGACAAATTGTACTCAGTGTGTAGTCTTCAACGGAACTACATCTATATGAAGAGAGATAAGCAGTGAGGTACCCCACGGTTCCCCTTTTAGGCCCAGTACTTTGCAATATCTTCATAAATGATATAGATGAGGGAATTAAAGGGAAACTTATCAAATTTACAGACAACACGAAGCTGGCAGGAATAGCCAACACCCCAGAAGACAAGCTCAAAATAAAAAAAAATCTTGAGAGACTTGAACCCTGGGCCCTATTTAACAAAACAAAATTCAACATAGATAAAAGATTTTTCACTAAGGTAAGAAAAATAACCTCTAGGTGTAAATTAGGTGAAAGTTGGCTTAATGCCAGTAACTGAGGGACCTTGGAGTCCTAGTGGACGATCACTTAAATATGAGCTAATAGTGTACAGCAGCAGCCAAAACCAGTGCAATCCTGGGCTGCATTAATAGAGGGATAGAATCAAGATCACGTGAAGTTCTAGTACTGCTTTACAAAGCTTTAGTAAGATCACACTTGGAATACTATGTCAAGTTTTGATCACAATATAAAAAAGATGTTGAGACTCTGGAAAGAGTTTAGAGACTAGCAAAAAGCATTAGGGGGCTGGAGACTAAAACATAAGAAGAATGGTTACAGGAATTGGGTATGTTTAGTTTAATGAAAAGGACTAGGGATGACATGGCAGCACTGTTCTAATATTTGATATTAAATATTTCAAGTATTTAATATTTGACAAGAAACAATTGTTGGAAACTAACCAAGGAGAGAAACAATCTAGAACTAAAGAGAAATTTCCTAACATCAACCAATGGAATACCTTGCCTCCAGAAGTTGTGGGTGTTCCATCACTGCAGGTTTTCAAGAGACTGGACAATCATTTCTTTGAAATGGTATAGGGTCCCCTGCTCAAGCAGGGTGCTAGAGTAGAAAACATGAGGTCCCTTCCAACTGTATAATTATATGTTCTAGAATTGGCAGAGCAGCAGCTCTGGAGTAATTCAGAGCAAGACAAGCATGACATCAAATAGGAGTTTGTCAGGAGCTGAGCAGTAGGAAGACATAAGTTGTAGGAAGACATAAAGAACAAAGGAGAGCAATCAATGATACTTATGTTCTGAGGTTTATATGATATGAGGAGTGAAAAAAAATCTTAGAAGCTGTTGACTGAAAGAGGTATGTATTGAAAGCTCCAGATTACAAATGATTGAGCAATTGCTTATTGAGGCTTTAGGAATATAAGGCAGTTTTCTAGAGAATGAACTAACAAAGCAAGTGAGCAGACAAATCAAACAACATTCTGTAAGTCAAGCATTTATTTTCATTTAAAATATCTTGTGTTTTTTTTAGGGTGTCATTTCCATGGTATTGACAAAATGCTCAAAAGATGCAGGCTTTATTCCAGTTAACAAGAATTTATGGTGAGGAACATATGGAATCATTTTATTCTATAAACTGATATTTGATAGATAAACCTTGGATTACTTTTTGATATTCCTGCAGGTCAATTTCATATGTGACAACACTGAGCAGCTTTGCCTTTATACTTCTGCTGTTTATATACTATCTTATAGATGTTAAGAAGGTATGGTCAGGTGCTCCATTTTTCTATCCAGGTGAGTATGCTTAAAAATAAAATATTTTATTTAACTTTTTTCAGATTAAAGACCTAGGTGGCTATGAAGACCTTGGTAGATTTTCTTTGTCTTGTTGATTCATAGTGGGCAGTTTCTATCTCTCCCACCCATCATGCAGTTAGTTTTAACACTGTTTTATATTCTTTTACTTTCCCCAAAAATAAGACCCTGTCTTGTATTTTTTTGAACCCTGAAACAAGCACTTGGCCTTATTGCTATGCGCTCAAAAGCACGATTGGGCTTTTATCAGGGGATGTCTTATTTTGGGGGAAACAGGGTAGCTGCCTTACCAGATGCTTTGTTCAATTCCTGTAGCCCTAAAACTTTTTGCTAACAAGTGGAATGAATTTCCTGGAATGCCATCATCAACTTATGGTTGAATTAATGATTCCCTGCAATATAGGTGAAATATGCTGGAATGATATGGCTTGATTATTCTGTAGGAATATCTTGGAATAGGAGTCCAATATTGGATTAATTATAAAAGAAACTCAAGTAGCTTTAGGTACAACTGTAAATACTGGTGGCAGGACCTGTGGGATTGATACCCAGAAATGTTTAGAAATCATCTGGTAAAAAAAAACAAAACATTTGATATTTTTGTAGTTTATAGAATTTTTTTACTTCCTTAATCCTCTTAATTATTGCAATTTGATATACTGGTCATTATTTGTAGTTTATAGAAATTTTCAAGTTATTTAGAAGCCATGGAAGAGGACTGAAAGTGAAGCTAGAAACTCCAGGGTAGGGTAGTGGGATGGGGTCATTTGATAATCTTTTGGCATTCAGGGGCTGTGCTTCATAAGAGTCTGGTTGTGAGACCATTTCTAAAACTAGGCTGACAGGCTCAATTGGGATTGTTGCTATTGTATCAGCATCCCTGCTACATGACAATCTCCCTGCCTGAGTGATGGGGGTCATTTTGGGGCAGGCGGTGGAGTTCACCAGACTTAAGGTTCTGAAAGACTTCCGCCTGCCATTTCTAGATTTGGCATCTGAAGCAGCCCAGGAGTTCATGGTCATCATGGCGGCCATAGGCCTATCACAGATCATCTAAGACCTAAGTTGAGACAGTAGTTACACATATAATCTTCTTGCCAGAGCAACATGATGTAGTGAAGAATATAACATTGTCCGGTTATGGTCAGATCACACCCTGGTATTCTTGAGATCACTTATGCCACCACACACACTCCATGCAGGGAGGCCAGTCCCAGTTGAGTGGTCTACTTCCAAAAACTGATGGACCCAAATGTTGAGGGAATTTGGAGGACATTCTAGAGATTTTGCTGCACAACCCAGCCAAAGCCTTGGTAACATCCTGGAATCAAAAGACAGCCAGGACTGTGTGGCCTCTCAACCCAACTCTCCCGATTTTCCATAAAGTACATGGAGGAGCTGCAGATTCTGAAAAGGATTAAGAAAGGACTAGAGCCCATTGGAAAAAAATAAGGTTGAATCTGACTTAGAGTTTACCTGGCTTATCTTGTGGCAGTAACAGCAGAGAAACAACAGTATTTCTATACCCTTATTGCATTTGCAGTGTCTCCCATTAGTCTTGTTTTGTATCATCAAGTCTCTCCTGGGAGAGGAAGGCTTGGTTGATCATCTTCAGGGTCAAACAGAGGAATTTGTTCAACATCTGATGGACAAAATCACTTGGGTTTGTTCTCAGTTGGAACCTATGCATGGTGTAATATGAGATGCCCAAGGAAAGATCTTGCCCAGTTATCTGGGAACAGTTCAATCCTGCTGGACATGATGAAGTGGACAGGATTAACCACCTGATTGGTGAAAGCCTCCAGGATGGTGACTGCCAGGTGGATTCAAGCAGTAATAAATTCTTCATTGCAAGAGGGGAGGCTTCTGGGGGCTTTAAGGAGGACCTGAATTACCCCCTTCTTAAAAACTATCACTTGATTTTATCTAGCTGTACAATTTTTGTTGTTTCCCATTTTTCCTTTCTCAGAAAAATGGTAGAAGAGGTGGTTGCTTGGGAACTTCAGAATTTCCTGAATTATTTAGTCCCCTTCCTGTCCAATTCAGGCCCAATTATAGAATAGAAACAACATTGCTCACATTTGTTGATATCTAGCAAGAGCAGGATGAAAGTTGTGCAACCATTCTTGGGCTCTTGACCTCTCTGCAGCTTTCAATCCTATCCTTTGGGCCAGCTATGGGGTTTGTGGCTAGGCAGCACAGTCTTGTGCTCATTTTGCTCCTTTCTCCAAGGCCAATCCCAACTGGTCTGAACAGGGAGAGATCCATGGCCACTTCTTTGTAGCACACTGCAGGACTCGGCACTTTCTACATCCTTTTTAACATCTATATGAAGCCACTGGGTAAGATCATTTGTCATCATGGGTTGAGTATCACTATGCTGATGATACTCAACTTTGTATCTCCACCTCTGGTGATCCAAGTGATGCTATCACTGCTATCTTGCCATGCCTGGAGGCTGTAAGAACTTGGATGGGGGACAATAGTCTTCAGCCAAAACCTGACAAGACCAAATGGTTTTGGGTGCATGGAGCTTCAAGATCTGGGACTTTTAACAGCTTTAGTTTTGGATGGGATTACAGAACACACTGCAACTGGGGGTTCTCTGCCTCAAAACTCCTGCTCAAAGAATAAGTGGCAAGAGCCTGTGTATTTTATTTTGTGTACCAGTGATAGTCTTTCCTGAATCAAGAGTCCCTGTTTTCAATCACTCAAGCCCTGGTCATCTCACACATGGATTACTATGGTTCCAGGGACTCCATAGGGTAGCCCATGTTATACACCTTGTTGTTTCTGAATGAAAGTCAGGATGATGGTTACCTTTAAAACTCTGTATAGCATGGGTCCAGGTTACTTAAGGAACCATCCTCACCCCAGTGGGACTGGCGTGTCCTACCTATCCCAGCAAAGCGGGCATGCTATGGGTCCATCACATAGGGAATTTCAGGTGGCAAAGTCCAGAAGACTTCTCTGCTATGGCTTCTTCTCTTTGGAACATCTTATCCAGAGGTGAGATTGACTCCCAACCTTCCAAAAGGACCTGATTCTGCCAGGAGGCTTGGGATCCCAACAAGGGAATAGCACACTGAAGGTGGTTGAAGAGAAAATCCCATCTCCCTCCTGTCGTAGCTTTTAACTGTAACTTTACTTTGGATTGTAATTCTATTTTTATTTTTAGAAATACTGATCTTTTATGGTCTTATTGTTTTTAATGTTGTAAGCTGCCCAGAGCCACTTCAAAGCAAGATGGGTGGCAAACAAATTTAACACACACACACACTCTGTAATACATTACTACTTTTCTGATAGTGTTTTTGATTTCTTTACAGGTATGAACTCCATTCTTGTTTATGTAGGACATGAAATATTTGAAAACTATTTTCCTTTTAAATGGAAGCTGCATGATACACAATCACACAGTGAACATTTGACTCAGGATCTAATTGCTACATCTTTATGGGTTATCATATCGTATATACTCTACCGGAAAAGGATATTCTGGAAGATATAATTCAACTTAATACAAATCAAAAAGTATGGGCTATGAGAGCATTGTATTCCCATCATATTAATGTCACATTTTTTCCCGAAGCGTTCTGTATTTGGTTTACATTCCAGATTATTTTGAACTGAAATCTATATATTTAGTTAGCCTTCCATTTAGTAAAACAAGACTTTGTTCAAACTTTATTTTCTACATTATTCAATTTCTAAATAAACATACTGAATGCTTTCTAATAATGGTATTTTCAAAAGAATTTTTGGTACACAACTATTCAGAAATTTGTCTCATAAAAATCACATAGATCATACAGTGGTATTTGGGACTATGCAGGCTCAGGAAGATTCTGTTCATTTGATTGTGCCACAACGCCTTCTGAAAACCACTCAGGATTGTAGACTGGAATGAACAACAGTACTCTTCAGTCTCCTTTATGGCTTCAGTTCAGCTACTCTATTTTGTAAAGCTAAGATGCTCTTATCTTAAGCAATAGTCAAATCTGGCTTACAAATGACTTGTATCTACCATCTACTCTGTCTGTTTGATGATATCAGGCAGAACACTCGACCACGATGATCTCAGGTAAAACATCATGATGAATATCTGTTATCAACTTTATGAGACTTGTGAATTATTGCAACATGACTGTAATGGAATTATGGATTTCTATTACTTACCCACCATTTTAAATCCAGTCTTGTGTCTGAACTAGATTTTTTTTAATGAAAGGATGATTTTAATTAATTTTGAAAACTATTTTATTTAGAATGCCAAAGTCAAAAGTTGAAGTCATGAAGTTTGACTATAGTTTTCCAGCAACTTTGCTTCAGCAGCTAAAGATAACTGGTAGCCCAATGGAATGATAATGATTTTTCTCTTTATTTGCTTCTTCTCAGCTCCAATGAAGGAGCTCAAATGACGTCTACTCAGCTCAATGTCTGAAGAAGCAAAATCTTCTCATTCATACAGAATCTATGCAATACCATCATCAAGTTTTCCCCACAGCGTGATACTTGACGCTCCATTGCCAGACGGAAATCCTCCTTCACACCTTTAGTGATTCCTCTGGTGATTGTGTGATGTCTGCAATTAGAATAACACAAAAACAAATTAAAGGCCATGGAGCTACATCTTGTAAAATGAAAACTGCATAGTATTTGTTGTAGAACATTCCAGTTAACATTTTAAAATATTTATAGAATGAGAATGTTCTGTGATAAGTATTGTACATGTATTATAAGGTCTTATGTAAAATCTCCAAATGATTTTAAAGGTATGGAAACACATCCTAGAATTTAAAGTCCTGAAATGTCTGGATCTCTTTAATGCAATGTATTAAAGTATCCATGCTAAAGACAATTGTATTCAGTTTTAAATTTGGCCATAAGAATATTTTTATGACTGCAAGTTAAAAGAGTAATAGAACTAATGCTGTATTTCATTTTTTTAGCATAAATTGTTTACCAAAATAGAATAAAAGCAGGTCAATATATATGTAGTAATGTAACTGTAAAGTTCTGGAGATGACATCACTAATTATCCCTGCCCAAACACACTACTTAACTCTCTCCATAAGAAATTAAATAATTTATGGCCTAACGAGAAGAATCAACAGTACCATTTACTGTTGAATTACAGGTAGTCCTCAACTTATGACCACAATTGGGACCAGAATTTGGTTTCTGGATGATGCAGTTATTAAGCAAGTAATTCCAGGACCATTTTTAACATGGTTGTTAACCGAATCTGGCCATTGATTTTGCTTATAGAAAGCCAGTTGAGAAGGCCCCAATTCGTGATCACATGACTAGAACACTGCAACTGTTGTAAATGAGCTGGTTGCCAAGTATCCAAACTGAAATCATATGACCACGCGGTTAGTAAAATTGTAACTTTGAGGGCAAGTCATAACTCACTTTTTTCAGCATCATAACAACTCTGAATTGCCATTAAATGATTGGTTGTAAATCAAAGATTACCGATTCCACTATAACCACTACTGTAGCACAAAGAGCTACAGAAATGAGTCAGATAATGCCATTTTGTAATGGACATTCTGAAATTCATTTTAGTTTTTCCAGACTCTGCTTTTTCCTTCTATTGCAATGATCTTGCATTCAGCTACGACCTATGGATTCTCAAGCAATTTGAAAGGGTAAGATTTAACCATATTGCAACACACACACACCCAATTTGCCTTAATGGGTTGGGACATCATCAGTATATAAAAGAACTATTAAGACACCAGAAACTGTTGTATATCCACCATGGACTACTACAGCATATTTCTTTGTTATACAACCTCTATTGGTGGAGAATTCAAAATAAAAATGGACAAAAAAGAGGGAGGCAATGGTAGAAATGAATTGCAAGTCCTCCAAAATTGCTTTACAATGTTTATGACTATTTTATCTAAAAAAAACCTACTCTACAATATCATGAATTAGCTGAGGCTAATTGTCAAACAAAGTAAAAATGCACAATTTTACCTCAATTCCAGGAAAAAAAAAATCACATTTTAGTTCTTAAACCGCATATTCAATAAGGCTGCATTTGTTTGATTTTAAACAACACTTCACATTATATGTTGTCTTTTCATTGCCTCTATCTTGCCCATATAGTTTTTTAACAGAAAGATAATTTCTTGTTGAAGAAACAACTTGCTGAAACCGCAAACCAGAAATCAGACTATATATATATATATATTTCCAAGATTACTAACAAAACTGCATAGATCAATTTTCTTCCACTGCTAATAGTCAAATTTGCTTCTCAAGAGGCAAAGAAAATAGGAACAAGCAATGTAGTGAAAGTAAAGAATATAAAAAATGCTATGAAAATCCTTGCCAGTCTTAACAAATTAGAGTAAATTTTTAGCTACATTATAAAAAAATGGTCTGGTTTGTCCAGAAAAAAAATAGAGCATTATTTTATTATATAGAGATCCACTTAAAAGTTTAACATACATGGGCCAGTAACTTATGAAAAAGTAACAAATGTTAATAATAAAACAATTTGCCAAATGATGTAGGCACAAATGAAGAACAAAAGCATGGAATTAACAAAGGTCTGATAACCATGACCAGTACAACATATTGACGAAAAGACAGCACACTATGAGCAGGGATGTCCTCCTGCTTTGTACCTGTCAGCAGTCTGCATGCTGGGCTGTAGTACAGGTATGAATTCCTGCTGCAGTAACCCCAGCGGAGGGCTAGAAGTCCTTTAAAAAACAGCAAACAGCAGCATTCAAACACACACACCAACTTCCCGCTGTGCTACAAAATCAATTCTCCAGTAACATATTAAGAGGAGGAATACAAATCAAATGTCTAAATCCTAGTGCAGGCATCCAATTGGTTTATTTTATTAGAGATGATGAAACAGAAAAAGCTTCACAAGCCTAGGTGTTCCAAAGAAGAGAATTCCAGAAGTCAGCTGAGGATTTAAATCCTGTTGGCATAAATAATGCCTTTACCAAGAAAGACACAATGTGGTAAGCAATCCTTAGATGACATGTAAAATTTCAGTGAGGAAGTCCATCAAATGGTCACCATGTTGAAGAGAATAGATATCTCCTGAAGCACACATTCTCTTTTTCAAATGGAAGAAAACTGTTACTGTTAGACTAGGCTACCTACGTAACATAATAAATCAAGCCACCTCTTTTTTTTACAAAATAGAAAGGGCTACTTGGCATCAAGTATGCTACTTCCTTTTCTTGCCGCAGGGCACATCTAGGGAAACTGCAGCTTCTATAATTCTTTCCCAGATATTTTTTTTAGTAATTTTGTGAAAGCAACTTTCAGAACAAAATAAATCAACAGCAAAACCAAGATATTTTGAAAGAGAAAAGAAAACATAACATTTCAATAGCAATAGCACTTAGATTTATATACCACCCTGTAGTGCCTTACAGCAGTCTCTGGATAGTTTGCAATTTCAGCATATTGCCCCCAATAATTTGGGTCCTCATTTTAACGACATTGAAAGGATAGAAGGCTGAGTCAACTTGTAGCGCCATCAGGATCTAACTCCAGACTAGGGAGTTAGTGGGCAGTTAGCCTGCAATACTGCATTCTAACCTCTGCACCACCTAGGCTTGCCCATTCCAGAACTGACTTACACTACAAATGCTTCCAAACAGAAATTTAGCAATAAATTAAGATGTGAAATACATTCTTTTTTAGTAATAGCTGCAAGTTAATGTCACTTGAAGTTTGTTCTTATTCATATACTACAGGAAATATGTATTGTAATTTTTGCCTTCTCCAGTATTTTGATTGTTTTATTTTTCCAGCATTTTTCTTAATTGCTGTTGTACAATAAATAGCTGCAATAATTTCATTGATACTGATGCTTTAGAGACGGTTTTCCATGCCCCCATTAGCCAAAATGGCAGCTAACAGGTTTGTTTCATATATCTATTAAAAAGATAAGAAAACAAAATTATATCTCTGTTATATTAGCATTTGAGAAGCCCTGTTGGAAGTCATACCAGTTTGAAAGCTTTTAACAGAATTCTATTGAATCTAATTTTCATTACCAACCTAGAAAATGAAACATCTTAATATTCTGATACACAAACCAGTCAGCCTTTTCTTAAATAATAAAAATCAAATTTAAGTTGGTTAAATTTATCAAATTTCCTTTCTAATTCGCAAACATGACAAAATCTATTAATTTCTTATAGAAATAATAATTACAAAATACAAGATTAATTACATCACAACACAAATGCAGGAAAGGCCAGCAAGGCAGTACTATCACTATAATACCTTCAGTTTTTTCCCATTCAAACTGATCCGATTCTCGGACACTGCCTGGACAAGTCATTACAGTTTTCTTGGAAAGGTTTTTCAGAATTGGTTTGATATTTCCTCCCTGCTAGGGCTGCGAGAAAGTAACAGCTAGGTTTGTAGCTATGGTGGGGCTGGAACTCAAGAGTCTCCCAGTTTCTAGCCTGG